GAGAGGGAATGGCTGGGGACGCTAGACCCAGAGAGGGAGAGGGGCTGTGTGCTGAGGACCAGGGGGCAGGCTTGTAGGGTATACACTTTGGTTGGCTGATGATGCGTGGAGGGGATTGTAACCATGGCAATGAAACAATACACAATAGGATGAATGTAAAGCTAATGTTCTTCCATGTAAACTATCACATAATTCACAATAAAACATTTTTAAAAAGAAGGAACTATTAATAATATATCAATGTTGTTTTTGTTGTTTGGGGCTGTTGAATTGGTTCCAGCCGATAGCAAATCTATATACAATGGAACCAGTGTCTGGTCCCATCCTCGTAACTGCTGCAACACTTAAGCCCATTGTGTCTGCCACTGTGCCAATGCCAATCCATCTTGTTGGGGATCTCCCTCTTTTCCACTGTCCTTCCACTTTCCCAAGCATGATGTCCTTCCCCAGAGACCGGTCCCTCCTGACAACATGTCTGAAGTATGAGAGACTAAGTCTCACCATCCTAGCTTCTAAGAAGCATTCGGGCTGCACCTCTTCTAACATAGATTTGTTTGTTATGACAGTCCTTTGTTGCTGTTGTTAAGTGCCATCAAGTCAGTACCAACTCATAGCGACCCTGTATATGGTTCCCAAGGAGCAGCTGTTGTGTTTGAACTGCCGACCTTGTGGTTCACAGTCCAGTGCTGATCCCACAGCACCGCATACATTTAATATTCTTCTCCAACACCATAACTCAAATACATCAGTTCTTCTACGGTCTTCCTTATTCATTGTCCAACTTTCACAAGCATATGAGGCTATTGAAAATACCATGGCTTGGGTCAGGTGCACCGCACCTTGGTCCTCAAAATTGACATCTTTGGTCTTGAACACTTTAAAGGGGTCTTGCTTAAAAGCAGATTTGCTTAATGTAAAATACATAACTTGATTTCTTGACTGCTGCTTCTATGAATGCTGATGGTGAATCTAAGCAAAATGAAGTCTTTGACAACTTCAATCTTTTCTCCATCTATCATTATGTTATTTATTGCTCCAGAAGTGAAGATTTTTGTTTTCTTCACAATGAGGTGCAACCCATACTTAAGGCTGTGATCTTTAATCTTCATCAGTAAGTACTTTAAGTCCTGTTTGCTTTCAGTAGCAAAGCTGTATCATCTGCATAACACAGGTTCCTCCAAGCCTGATGCCATGTTCTTCTTCATATAATTCAGTTTCCCAGATTATTTGCTCAGCATACAGATTGAGTAAGTATGGTGAAAGAATACAACCCTGGAGCACACCGTTCCTAATTTTAAACTATACAGTGTCCCTTTACTCTGTTTGAACAGCTGTTCCTTGGTTTATGTACAAGTTCCTCACGAGCACAATTAAGTGTTCTGGAATACTCATTCTCTACAATGTTGTCCATAGCGTCTCATGATCCACACAGTTGAAAGCCTTTGCAGTCAATAAAACACAGGTAAGCATCTTTCTGGTATTCTCTGCTTTCAGCCAAGATACATCTGATGTCAGCACTGATATCCCTCATTCTATAATGTTGTTGTTGTTAAGTGCCGTCGAGTCGATTCTGACCCATAGTGACCCTATATAGGGTTTCCAAGGAGCAACTGGTGAACTTGAACCACTAACCTTTGCAGTCTGACGTATTAGCCTACAGTGCCACACCAGGACTCCCCATTCCATAATAGATTGAATTAATTAATAAAATAAAATACTTTTTACTAAAGTATTCCTGGGTAGTACAAATGGTTAATTATCTCTGCTGCTCACTGAAGGGTTGGAGGTTCGTGTCTCCCCAGAGTTGCCTCAGAAGAAAGACCTGGCAAACTACTTCTGAAAAACCAGCCAGAAAATTGTAACTGAAAACCCAATTACGGTTCTATTTTGACACACATCAATTGAAATCAACTTGATTAGAAACTAGTACTGGTAACTGATTAAAAATACCATGCTAGAAAAACAAACAAATACGTCTTGGAAAAAGTACAACCAGAATGCTCTTTAGAAGCCAGGATGATCAGGCTTCATCTCTCATACTTTGGATATATTATCAAGAGGGACCAGTCTCTGGAGAAGGACAACATGCTAGGTAAAGTGAAGAGTCAGTGCAAAAAAGGAAGACCTCCAATGAGACAGATTGGCACAGTGACAGCAGCAATGAATTCTAGCTTAATGATGATTGTAAGGATGGCGCAGGACCAGGCAGTGTTTTGTTCTGTTGGGCACAGGGTCATTATGGGTCAGAACTGACTTGATGCCACCTAGTAGCAACAACCTGTAACTGGTTATCACGTGCATACAGAAAAGGGCACAGATGATAAATGAACAACAGATTGATGAATTACTACAAAGTGAAAATCCCTGTGTAATCTCTGTGAAGATAATGAGTAGAGAAGCCCTCTGAACTCCTCTTCCTCTCCTTTTCCCTCTGGACCCGTTTATCCTTTTAGGAGCTCATGAGAATGTTTGAATTTCTTTTCAATGCCGCCCGCAAAGGAACTTTTAGGTAAAAGGACATGTTTTCATATTTAATATTAAATTTTACCTTTATACCAACGCCATCATAACATGATTTCAAGTATTTTTTGCTTGGAAGGAGGGTCCAACAAAGGCAAAAGTGCTGCCTAAGTGTAAAAACTATGTTGTTGTTGTTGTTAGGTGTCATCGAGTTGGTACCAACCCATAGCGACCTTATACACAGCAGAAGGAAACACTGCACGATTCTGGACCAACCTCACTACTGCTGCCACACTTGAGTCCATTGATGCGACCACTTTGCCAATCCATCTCGTTGGGGGTCTTCTTTCTTTTTCTGTGACCCTGAACCTTACCAAACATGATATTCTTCTCCAGTGACTGGTCCCTCCTGTAGTCTTAAAATTAAAACGAAAGATTTTTGAAGGAATAGACAACTCAAGTTGGGAAAGGCTGAGTAGGTCTACAAAGGGAGAGGAAGAAGGGTGGTCTACATGCAAATATTTCTGGAACTTTTAAGCAAATTTTCTGATTGGTTGATATTTTTAAAAATCCAACCAGCCAGGCATAAGACAGTCATAAAGTAAAACCACATACATATCCTTTCTAATATCGGTCGTTTCTTATACAAGGCTCTGGGAACCATTTACGCAAAAAACTTTCCTAGTACATTCTGTGCAGGCAGCCAACATTTCACACACTCAAACAAAACCACATATGTTGACCTTCCAAGTTTCCCCAACAGAATACGTTAGTGAGCATGTTCTTATGGCAATTCAGAGACAGGGACAAATGGGATCTCATATCAAACTGGTTTCAGCCATTTAATTCATGAAATTCATAATAAGTTCCTGCCTCCCCTGGGCAAGCAACTAGCCTGGCTTCTAGCACAGAATGTGCCTGTTCTAGAACTTCATATAAACAGCTATAGTGTGTAGACTTGTATCTGGCTTCTTTCACTCAACATCACTTTTGAGTTTTCTTTCATCAAACCACCCCCAGCCACTGCCTTAATCTCCACTCCCAACTACTGTCTCGCCTCCATTCATTCATTACCTTTCTGATTTAGAACAGGGATAAAAATGACCTCTGATGTCTAGCAGTTCAGGAGCCCTGGTGGCTCAAGAGTTAAGAGCTCAGTTACTAACAGAAAGGTTGGTGGTTCAAACCCATCCAGCCTCTCTGTGATTATGGGAGAAAGACCTGGGGATCTACTCCCAAAAGACTTCAAGAAAAAACCTTTGAGGCAGTTCTACTCTATCAGTTGCGGTCAGTATGAGTTGAAATCAATTCGATGACACCTAACAACAAAAGTCTAGTTAATAACTAACGATTTCTTTGATCTGGTCCGAGTCTTTCAACGTGCAGGAGAGAGTGTCATTCATCCACCCATCCATCCACCCATCCACCACCCATCCATCCATTTTAAAAGCAATCTCTCCAGTACCATCTTTGTGTCAGGCGTTGTGCCGCCACTCCGGGAAGGTAAAAGAGTGAACAACAGTGTGTTGAAGGGTAAGTCTTCGTAACTACCTAGCTGTCAGGTGGTAGTGAGGCTCAGGTAAAACTTCACGGAGGAGGTGGCATTTGGTCAGGGACTTTGGAGAACAAATAGTTCATGGTGTGGGGTGATACTCCATCCAATAGACAGCACGCTCGAAAGAAGAATGGCTAGTTGGTGAGGTCAGCATGCAGTGTGCATAAGGTACTAGAGGCTGGAGAGGATTGAGGAGATGTTCAGAAGGGCTGGGATGCTAAGGTAAGGTCAGGCCCAAGAGTTCAATGGGCAATGAGGGTTATAGGTTCAGATTGATCAGAAAGTATCACCAAAGCGGTAAGATGAAGGACCCGGAAGGGGTGGTTTAACATCTTTAGGGTGAAAGGCGTGGCAGGGGCGTGTTGGTTAGGCAGTGGCAACGCTGACCTTGGAAACACTGACCTGGTACGCTCGCTCAACAGAATTCGGGGTTTGGCCCTGTAGGCAGGGCTCAGGGTGAGGGGCAGAGAGAAGACACATCCTGAGACCCGCGCCCGCCTTCCAGCTCAATTAGAATTTGGGATTGCTTTTTCTTCCCCTCGGAGTGTAATCTGACGCTGTCGGGGGGAGGGAGAGGCAGAAACCTGATCCACCGGGGCTCGGTTAATGTTTAATCACACAGAATCGTCCGATGGGGCTCCGGTGGCGTGATCTCCGAGGCCGGGGCGTCGCGCTCCCAACACCCTAGAAGATTTCCGCAACGGCGTCGAGGCGCGTGTGTCTGCTGGCGTGAGCTGGTGGCTCATCTCCTAGTCGGGGCTAGGAAGAGGGAACCCGCCAGTGAGACCGCCCGGGGTCAGGTCACGTCGCCGAGGCGCGCAGACCCTAGCTGGGAGCCCCAGCTGCCCCCTCGCGTCCGTATCCCTCCAGGACCAGGAGCTCCCGCGCGCGCATCGCCGCTGGTGAACTACAACAGGCGGTCGGTGTAGACAGTGAGCAACCTCCCGGGTCTCCCTTCAGGGCACAAGCATCTCCTCCTGCCCCGATGGGCATGGGCAGCTGCGGGAGGCCGTGGTGGCCGTTACTGCTGCTGTTGTTGCTACTTCTTCAGAGCCCCAAGGGCTCCCGCGTACAGGAAGATGAGGATGCAGACTACGAGGAGTTTGTGCTTGCCTTCTCATCCGAGGAGGACAACTCGGCAGACGTGGCTCAGGAAGTAGCTACTGCCACCTTCCACCACTGCGCCAAGGTGTGCTTGCGGCCGTGGGTTTGGGTTGCGGGGACCGACCTGCCATGGGGATGGATGGATGCAGGGGAGGCAATAGAGGACGGGCTGGAGTGAAGGTCACCTGGAGAGGGGCTAGGCGCAGATGTCTGGAAGTGAAAAAGCTGGGGCGCTCAGCAGCACCGTGCAAAAGGGAGGCGCGCGGGGATACGTATCAAAAAGGTGTCAGCAGAGCACGTCCAAGATTGCCTATCCAAATATCGTTGGACGTCTCCGAGACTCTGGCGTTTAAATGAATTAAGGCCGGGAACGCGCTTAACCAACACCCAGCACAGAGAAAGGAGGTTTGCTACTATGTGTCCTGACTTGGTTGGGGATGAACTGTGTGTGGTAGGGAATGTCTGTGTGGGTGAGGATGGGGGTCTTGGAGAGAGCCGGAGCTGCTGGGGCAGAGGAGAGGTGGGAGACATGGCAAACGCTGGGATCAGAAGCCATTTCTTCATGCCACAGAATTCTTACTCGAATACTGTATCCTTTTCAGCGGAAGAAATGAAGAAACAAAAGGGGAAGGGACAATTATTCTCAAGGCCCTGTTGGGGAACTTGGGGTTGGGACTCCAGAGGGAGGGTTGAGAAAGACTGTTGGTGCTCTGTTAAAGTTGGGGTTGCCTGGTATAGGGGGACACAGGATGCTGATCCCCCACCAGAATCCACTTAGCCATCCATGAAGTCTGGAAATTGTTTGAAGGAAAACCTTTGGCTGGGGCTGTGGGAAGTTCTTCACCAGGGAAAGAGTCTTTGGTTCCCTTTATTTATTTATTTATTTATTTTGCCTACCTCTGGTAGCATAGTGGTTATGAGTCGGGCTGGCAACCTCAAGGTCAGCAGTTCGAAACTACCAGCGGTTCCGCGGGAGAAAGATGAGGCTTTCTGCTCCCATAAAGATTTACAGCCTCGGAAACCCTGTGCAGGGTCACGATGAGTCGGAATCGACTCCACAGTACTTAATAACAACAACCCAGGGCTGGGAGAAGGTCCCATTGCCCAGGCTTGGAGTCAGATCTGAATTTGAATCCTGGCTGTGTGGTGCTTGTCAAGTCATTCATTGCTTAACCTCTTCAAAGAAAGGTGATAATCCTTCCAAAGGACTTCTGCTGTGGTGCTGTAGGATAAGCACAGGACTACAAGGACAGTTTGAACCATAAGGTCGGCAGTTCAAACTCATTAGTCGCTCCTCAGAAACCTATACTGGGTCACTAAGAGTCAGAACCGACTCACTGGCACTTAATAACAACAATCCTTCCAAAAGAGAGAGTGTGAAGATTCAGTGCTCAGCTAATGGTAGGAGCTCTCACTATGTAAAGGGTCACTGGAGGAGGTAGAGGTAGTTGTGCGTAGCAGTGGGCCCTCCTGATGACATGGACTTTGCTCTAAAACAGCAGCTCTGGGACACTGGAGTAAACTGTTGCTAATGGTTGCCTGGCTCGCCCTTCCACAAAAGCCCAACTGCTCTGCCTGGGTGTTCTGACACAGCTGATGCCTAGCCCTTAGCTCCCTGTGCGGGGTGAGTTAGCCAGCACAAGAGGGAAGGCCCTAGCTTTTTCAGTCTGACTTTCACAGGAGAGAGGGGCTTACTTGGCCCAGAGCCCTCTTCCTTGTTCCCTAAGCCTTTCACTTTCTAGTGGAGTATTGCTGGGCTGTGGCAAGATAAGAAAGGACATTTTAATTCACCACTGCACCAAAGTAATTGTTCTACAAGTAATGAGAGGTAAGTAAGCAGAGGCTGGAAAACTACCTTAACCAAGCACTTGGGGGATATTTCTGAATGGATGGAAGTTTGAAACTGAAACAACCTAAAGTTCATTCATTCACTCCTAGGGTATTTTGTGTTAATGAATTTTGTTGTTGCTGTTGTTAAATGCTGTCAAGTCAGTTCCAACTCATAGCAAACCAGTATAAGCTTTCTGAGGAGCAGATGGTGAATTTGAACCACCGACCTTGCACTTCAAACCAACCTTATTATGACTGAGTGCTTTTCCTACAGTGCCACACCAGGACTCCAATCAAGTTTACTAAGATATCAAGGATTGATCTAAAATCCTTTTCTACCTGCCAAAGATATTTTCATTCTAAACTTGATTAGAATGAAAATATTTTTGGTAGGCTGAAAAGGATTTTAGATCAATCCTTGAATCTTATTCATAAGAAATTAAGGCTTAGGGAAAGGTGGACTCATGCTACACTTCACAGAGTTGTTGTTGTTGTTGTCAGGTGCCATCGAGTCGGAACCGACTCATAGCGACTCCATGCACAGCAGAACGAAACAATGTTCGATCCTGGG